GAATAATACAAAAGCAATATTCGCCGAGCACTATAAGTATTAGTGCATTATAAAATGTTTATAGACATACGCATAATATAAATATATAAGTTGACACACTTCAGGTAGGTAAACGTTTTAGTATAATATTTTTCACAAAGAATACGTATTATACATGAACACCGTGGGTTCACAAACTGCGCAGGATCAGATCGTCCATGTCACAAGCCACTTAAAAGGTAAGCCTAATTTTAATTTAGTAATATATTGGCTATGGGCAACGTATTTTATTTTAATATTGTCGTTACTAAATTAATTTGAAAGAAAAATTCGGTTTATTTATCTCTTTAGCATAGGTAAAATATTTTAAATACATTATACATTTATAAAATTAGGCATGTTCATCAATGCCATAATTAGAAATATTTTTTTTTGCATTAGGATGGTACGTAATTAAGAGGAGATTATACCCGCGCATGGTATTAAATCTATATTTTTGTTCGATCAGACTAGCGTTTGGTCGGCGACCGATAAAAACGATCATGAGTGAATCGCAATCGGCACGACTGGTAAGACTACGCATATCAGCTGCCGAATACCTTACATCAGTGGTTCTCAACCTTTTTGGATTTATGGTTCATGTCACCCTTATGGTTAGGTTAGCGTTGGAATACTTGGAATTGTTATTAATTTAAAACTAATTTTTGATTTCAACGAAATATGTTATTTGGAGGTTCAGTGTTCAGTCTGTTTAATGCAACAAAGTAACAAAGGTGTTCACTTGTAAATCTAAGTATTGATCTCCCAAAAGCATATATTACTAGTTGTATTGTATTTATAGTGCTTTAAAGTCAGATTAATCTTGTTTTATAAACTCAAAATATAATTGATTTTATTTATGAGTACAACACATTTTAATTGTAATTATAAATTTATATAGAAATTAATTCTTTTCTAGAAATAATTTATGTTGTCTAAGCTGCTAGTGAACTTGAATAACTAGCACAGCAGGTACTAATGTGTACAGCACTGCAGATTTGTGTTAATATAATAATTTATATTTTATACTAGAGTGATTGACCTATTGGTTATTACAAACTTACGAGTATAGTAAAATAATACTATAATATTTAAAAATGTTTTGAGAAATTAAAATATAAAAATCAACATACATTGTACAAACATAAACTATAGGTAAGAACTTTTAAGATTGATAATAGGTAATTAATACTCAATTCACTCATATAATAAATCTAACAACATAAAATTAGTTTTACTGGATGCAAATTCGAAATATTGTTTTCATATTTGTAAGACTAAGACAATATTGATGGGTTTCTGGGTGTAATGTCCTTTCAAGTGATTATCTGTTTGACTTCTTAATTTTGACAATTTTATTAAATTTCTACTGATATAAAATGTATTATTTGACGACAAGAAGTTGCTCTCTTAATAGTTAGTTAATAAATTAATTTAATATGATATACACTTAAAAAAAAAAATTCTCCAACAAAACTTTTCCAAAATTATTATTTCAATAGTTAGATAAGATTATAATAAATAAATAAGTATGATGTTAACAAAAGTTAATATTACCATTTCATTATAACTTGAAATATTTTTGATAAATTCAATTCAATAAAAATAGCACAACTGTGTAATTTATAAACTGTAATACTTCTTAAACAAATTGAATTTTTTTAGCTTTTGGATAAAAAAAATCTTGAATAATTACTTTTATATTTTAGTAGAATTTATTTTATGTCCCTATTTTATATGAATAAGGCTATGTTTAAAAGTCAATTATGGCACAAAGATTGTTTCAAATATATTTAAAAACAGAAGAATTTTTACAGGTCACATTGGATTTGGATTTTTATTATATTATAAGAAAGCTTAAAATATAAATTTAGAAATAATCAGATATTTAATTACAGCTTGTGAACTGAAAGATTAAATATAACACAAGATGCTTCTTAAGTTTAGTATTCATTTTTCTTATTAGAAATATAAATTATTACAATAAGTATTTTAACTATAAGTTTAAATGTATTAATTGTATGGGTAAAAAAATCTTGGCAACTATAATTTTAAGAGAGGAAAGTTATTATCCACAATTAGTTATTAAGTTATTTTATTTTACACTGTAAAGGTTGTAACTACATGTAACTACTGTTGTAAATGTATACACTTAACATCTATGAGATTTTAAGAGAACTTTGAGTATTTATTATTTATATTTCAACAATTAGCATATTTAAGTAGTTACAGGCCATAACATTTTTAAAAAGACACACACAACAGCATTAAATCAAAAAAAATATCAATTTATTTGCATATTATAATTAATATTAATTAAGTCATAAAAGATAAAAATTTTAAAAAAATGAGAAAAAAATGTACTAAAATTTTATTTTATTTTTACCATTATTTCTTGAAGTCGTTTTCTGGCTGCTATTACACGTTCTTCTTGACTTTTGATGTCTTCGACAGTTACACTCACCTCCTATAAAAATAAACAATGTTAATTTTACATACAAATATGTGTTTATCATATTGGTTTATTTAACTACATTTTTAAATAGGTTGTTATTTTAATATATACCATACCTGGACAAGTGGTTGATCTGGAATCCGATATACAATTTCTTTGTCATAATGAGATCGCATCGGAGGTTGTCCAGTCACTGGCATAGCGCATACATGTAATGCAGTAGCTACACTCTGCAATAGAGTATCATCACTAACATGAGGACCAGCTGGTCGCAATAGACCAGTCCATCTGGTACCTAATTCATAACCATCTTTTTCTGATGCTCGAATACCTTCGAGTCTTTTTTCCCAAAATACCTATAGCAAATGATATTAATAATAGGCCCCAATGTCCTATAGACAGGGGCGGACAGGCGTAAGCAATCAACCCGAGCGATCATAGATAAAGGCCCAGCCGCTCAGGTAGGTTAGGTTATACCAGCATACATTTCTTAATAGTAATAGCATAGATAGATACAATTAGTGGCTCTTCTCTCTCCCAATTATTCAATTATCATCAATTTAAAAAAATGATTTGTGTCCTTAATTGTCAACTAAAATATATAATTATTATCGTAAGGTCAAAAATCCTAACAGCCCAGGGTGGCGTTTGTCTATCTGCCTGTCGGCCCAGTCTGCCCCTGCCTATAAATCAATATATATACTGATTTACTTGTCTAGGTTTTTCTTGTCTCCCGTGTTTGAAGTCTGCTTTGACTTTTCCTTCCTGGTTCTTATGAACAGTAACTGGCTGTTTAAATATTGACGCTGTTTGTCTGATAGGTGGTACAAGAGCTCCTTCACTTCTTATGCCACGACTAAATATATAATTGATATGTTAGGCATAATATTGTAAAATATGTTTTATACCAATTTATAAATGTTTAAGTATAGAGTACATCAAATTATTTAATGGTCAATTTGTTAGATATTTAATAATTATGTTTATTTAAATAACTATGCTAATATCATTATTACATAACTATCTACATTAATATCATATATTATTATGACATAATAATAATTTATAATTTTATAAATTTTATACTTTATATTTATAATTTTTCATTGATACATTGTATTAATGGAATATAAAAACTGTTTTAGGCATTAATCTGTTATTGCCCTGTTGTGGTCAATAAATAATATTTTCTGATAGCCATATATAAATAGTAGGTTATCATCATAGTTATGTTAACCAAAAATACAATTTTATGGACCCTATTGTTGGAACTCACTATCAAAATGTGGGATGCTTTAAAATGAAGAAAAAAATAATAATGTGGTATTTTTTGAAATATTTTTTAGTCTTATTTAGATGAGTTTATATAGTGGCTAAAACTTAGTTAAGCAGATCCTTTTGAACAAATTTTATTGTATATTTCAGAATTTAGGCCTTCATCATTATATTATATATATATTTTATTATGATTTTAAATTAAATAACATATTTTATGAAATCAATAATAGTTTTTAATAATTTAAAAGTAAATATATTACATGAATAATATTTATTAACAGTATTATGAAACAATTAAATTTTAACATATCATAGAAAGGTAATAACAAATTTGTACATTGTTTTTTGGTTGGAATAAGCTTTAATTGATTATATACTTATATACTATAGGTATTTAGTGTAGGCGTTATCTAGCCAGTAATTATTTAGTCATAATTATATTTCAGGATTAGTAATTTATCAATAAGTAAAATTGAATTCAATACTAGATAGGTTTTTATACTAAATTCAAATTTTACTTGAACATAAATATAATTAATAACTCCTAACAGTAAATCAATGTAATACAAACTAGTAATTAAGGATTAAAATACATTCTTGATTTGTAAACAATTAGGTGGGTTGAAATAATTAAATTTTATAGATTACTATAAAAATAATAAATGTTAAATCATGGTTCATACCATAAAATTTCCATTTCTTCGGCTTGTGTCTTTAAAATCAAAATTTGTTCTCTTCGTTTTTCGGCTCGTTTCATTCGCGATATTCTAGCTTTGGTTTCCAATGATCTCTTCTTCAGCCGGGGCATTATGAATGATATTGTCTGCAGTAGGTATCGATAATGTCAGCAGTTCAGCACCTATTTTAGAAAACTACTGAATTCAAAAGAAAATCTTAAAGTCATATGAAAATACGAAATAAAGATTTATTGCATTTCAGAACATTTTGAATACAAATTAGAAAATAATTTTGTTTATACTGATAAGCTCGGTAGTCGGTATACGGTCTCCCTGAATTAAACCAGAATTTTACTATCCGAGAGCTAAAACATGGTTACGCAACGTTATAAGTAGTAACTGTGGTAACAAAAAATAAATGAATATACTGGTATAAGGTTTATTTTCAAAGTATTGCAATGATAACACATTTCGATTTTTGATAAAAGATTAAAGTTGTTTTTTAAAAATTTGATTATTTAACAACGCGTTTACTTATTGTTTTTACTTTTTACACAAATTTAAATTTTAAATGTTTAAATTTGGTATTTTGGTATATAAATTAAATACACACTATAGTGATTTGAACAATATTATTTTTAATACCATAATTCATGTGCCTTTTAACCTGTAAGTATAACAACTTGGATAATATCAACTTATATATTATTAGTAGAGACCGGAATTATATGTTCTAATAATGTAGCAAATGTGATGTAAATATATTCAAATATGCATCATAAATTTACATTATTTTAAACAACTACAAACATTAGAACAAATAAAACAAATAAATATAACGAAACTAGTGGTGTTGGACCTTTCAATATTTAAGTATATCAACAAAATATTTAAATATTAAAAAAGAAACATCATTTTATGCTATTAAAATAGTTTAAACAAATAAAATATAACAAAATCTGCGGTGTTGCCAATAAATGAATGTTTAATTTTTATACAACTTTAAAAGTAATTTAATTTGTTAGATAATAGTTTATTAACACTGTATCGAACTAGAGAAGATAAAATTCTATACTGTGTTGATGCCTGATGGTAATTTTTTTCACCTGTATAGCAGTATTTAAAAATTATAATTTCCAAGATAAAAACGTGAAATAATTTGATTATTTACTAAGATTGTAAAAAATATGCACATTATATGCGTTTATGAAAAAATATGCCCCAACCTTCCAAATATATCATTATATGCAAAATTAAATTTGTGCTATGGAATCATTTGGGTTTGAATCGCCTACATTTTTAATCCTCGTATAAGTTTATACATTCAGTATGAACATGCAAATGCATAACATTTTGGTCTCTAATTATGAGTAATTCAAACATAGTATATAGACATTGCTAGTCAGTTATAATCTAGTTCTAGTGCAGTGACGCCGAACTAAAAAAAAATATGCAGAACAAACATTTAAAACAAACTCCCACCCACCATACATTCGGTTTTTTAAGCTACTAAAATAGATTTACTCACCCATTACCAATTTTATATGTAGGAAAATTTTATTGTCTTACATTAACATAGGGTTTGGCGTTACTGTTCTAGCGATTTTAAATTATATAAATGCAATTTAAGTAAAAAAAAACAAATTTTAAGGATTTCATGTTTTAAGTTTGGATTTAAAAAATTGTAAATGTTTGCTGGTATTTTAAAATTCTATATTTATACATTTATGTGACTATATATTATAAAATCAAATAATAAAATATTATTTGACAATGCATAAATTATAAATAATAAGATACGTAATTTTTTTTTTTTGTATAATATTAAAATATATCAGCTATTAATTTTTTAAAACATGAAATATTAACCATAATAATATTTAAGTAGGTATAAATAATTTAAATGCTGAATTAGTATTTTATAATTATTATTAATAATTTAGTGTTGGATTTATTCATAAAAGAATCTGTAGCTATACTATAAATTTAAATTATAAATAATATACAAGTGTATTAGTGACTGAAAATAATCATTTCATACCTTTTTTTAATTCTATGATTTAAGAAATGCATTATATATAAACAAAAATATTATTTAATTGATTAATGTGATATATTACTATGCATTTTAAGGAATTGTAGAAACAAAATTAAAACATACATTTTTATTTATTTTCACGAAATAACAGTTTTTATTTAGTAATTAAGAAGATATTTTTAATATTGTAATAATCAATGATACTTATTTTTTTTTTTAAATTTATTTTAGATAATTTTCATTAAACATATATCATGACTTGCAACTGTGTGGATGCTCCTGTTCCTCCATTATTTGGTGTTCAAACTCTATTTGCTGCTCAACATACTTCAGAGTCTTGTGGTGCTAATGGCCTACCATTAACTCCTAATTCTATTACAATTTTAGGAAATGCTCAAAAACTAAAGACTTTAAATCATTCAAATTTAGTGTCACATTTGGATTTTATTCGGAAACAGCATGGACGCATCATTTTGGTTTCTCAGTATTTTAATCGATCTGTATGGACTGAATCAAAAAATTGTTCGTTGTTATTACCATTGGAGAAAGTACTAAGTTGGACCCATAAAGTTTTGTCCGCATTGACTTATTTAAATGATAATGGTTTAGTGCATCGATTTTTAACTCCGCAATATATATTATTAGATGATGAAGATAATGTTAAATTATTTAATTATGGAATTTATTATATGACAAATAGTGGTAAAAATATTACTTTTCCTATTGGGAAACTTAAATATACTGCACCTGAAGTGTTAGTACTTGATAGAGCTTCAAATAAATCTGGTCCTAAAACAGATTCTTGGTCATTGGGTATTATTGTTTTAGAATTGTTGTTGGGAGCACAACTTTGGCCAACACTTAAGCTTAGTCAGATAATTCGGAAAATATTATCGTTAACGCATTGTACAGACGTTGTAATGAGACTTGCTCGTGAAATGGGCCGTTTAACAATGTATCAGTCATTCCCTACTGAATTGAAAGACTTTCTCAGTAAATGCATTTGTATGGATGCTACTAAAAGAATGTGTCCAAAAGAGCTGTATGATCATAAGATATTTTCTCTTTATGAGAATTCAAAAATATTAACAAATAAATGTTATTCATGTAAACATCCATTGCGTCAAATGAAACTGAACCAAGTTTATTATTTATGGAAACTAGCCGGTGGAGATGCTGAATGGGCATTAAAAAAAAAAGGCTTATTAAGAAATGAATCATCTATTTTACTTTTACCTCGACTGATCATTCTTGAAGGTACATTGTATGGTAATACACGTAACCAAAGTTGTTTATTAGACTTACAGATAATTGAACTATCTTTAGATTTATTGGTAAATAGGCTTCAACATCTAAAAATAACAGATTATGATCCTCTAATTGATCAAATCAAAGAATGTGATGATCCTACTGAAAAGTTACCACTAGTCATTCGTGAAAAAGACACTGAATATCAGTTTCATCGAATAGTCTTGTTTGATCGTTTATTATCATCTTATCCTTTCAAATTGGACAGATTACTCGCTGAAGCAAAGAAAGATATTCCACCATATTTCAGAGGAGAAATTTGGGCATGTTTGTTGAATATTTGTGGTGATACAGAAAACACTTATTTGTCTATAGATAAAGAAACTGCTGGAGTAACAGATAGACAAATTGAAGTTGATATACCAAGATGCCATCAATACAATGATCTTCTATCGTCTTCAGTAGCTCATAAAAAATTAAAAAGAGTTTTAAAAGCATGGCTTGTTAGTCATCCTAAATATGTTTATTGGCAAGGATTAGATTCATTGTGTGCGCCATTTGTTTATTTAAACTTTTGCAAAGAACATGTAGCTTATGCATGTTTAACAGCATTTGTGAAAAAATATTTGAACGATGTATTTTTACGTGACAACTCTACTGTGATTCGAGAATATTTAATAAAATTATTTCATTTAATTGCATTTCACGACCCACAACTAGCAAATCACTTGGATGACAAAGGTTTCATACCAGATTTATTTGCTATACCTTGGTTTTTAACAATGTTCTCTCATGTATTTCCCATGCATAAAATTTTTCATCTTTGGGATAAACTTTTACTAGGTGATTCATCATATCCATTGTTTGTTGGATTATCAATCCTTACTCAGTTACGCAGTACATTATTAAATTCTGGGTTTAATGAGTGTATATTATTATTTTCGGATCTACCAGAAGTGGACATTGAAAAGTGCGTTTTAGAATCATCTAAGTTTAGTGATGTAACACCAAGGTCAATTACATTTAGAAAACATGAGTTCAGAACTGAAACTCGAGAACATGATCCATGTTTAATCTATGAAGTATTGCAAAATGAATTTAGTCCTAGAATAAGTGTTTATGATTTGCAAGAATTAAAAAGGTCCTGCCATAAATTTTTGGTCGTAGACTCAAGAGCACAAGATTGTTATATAGAAAAGAGTATACCAGGTAGTTTAAATATTCCTGTTAAGGAAGAAGATTTTGCAGATGAAAATTTTGATTTAGAGCCTAGTCCAGAATTAAGTGCTCTAGTTAATAACAGAGGCAGTGTTCTAATAGTTGTTGACAATGTATATGAATTAAATAAAGTTAATAAGTTTTGTAGATTTTTGGTAAAAAAAGAATACCCTAAAGTATGCAGTTTACATGGAGGTATAGAGGTATTAGAGACTTTAAATATTTTAGTACCAGCTATATTATTTTGATTCATAATAATTAATAGAAATATAATTTTATGTATTTTGTATTAATTATAAAATACATTTTAATTATAATTGTTATTTTTTGTATAGTATTAAGTTTTTATTTTATTTATTACATATTATATTATACACTTGGTATATATGCAAATTTTAATACTTTTAACTATGAATTTATTTTATTTGATATATTATTGAGTGTTTTTAAAGTTTATTTCATTTGAAATTTATATCTTTTAATAATATATTATATATATTCACTATCTTAAGTATTATTTTTTTTATAAAATACACATAAAAAGTGAAAATAATTAATAAACATTAAAAATAATTTATGTATTACTATTTACTATTATATTATATTATTAATATGCTTATTGAAGTATGTAAAAATATTAATTCTTGTCCTTAGGTTCAACATTTCAAAAACCATACATTTTAATTAATTAAAATTTTTTAAAAATAATATTTGGTACATTTATTATTATATTTATATGTTTTAATTTTGATGTTACTTTAAAAACTTGTTTGTTACTTATACAATTGTTTTTAGTTATGACCAAAATATATGTTATTTAATGTTAATGTTAATAACATAATTTTTTTATTGTCCATATTACCTACAAAATAAACGTTCTGTTTCATTAGAAACTTAAATTTTTGACCTCTCTCACTCCCTCAAATTTAATAATAGAAAATTTGAAAAGAAAAAATATCTTATAAAATATATAAAAATATTTTAAATCTAATACAACATTGATATTTTCTTCATTCTTCACACAAATGCTGTAGAGTAGATTTTAATTTATAACAATACAATGATTGTTACTTATAATATCTATTTTTATGTAATTATGTATAAATTCAGGGACGGCTCTACAAATTGCAAGGCCCCGTTCAGAATAATTTAAATCAAATAATATTATTCAATTTAATTTTTAATTCAAATAAATTAAATAAATGTATAAAATAATATATATCTTAGACGGGTTAGAAGAGAAAAAGTAACTTGGAAGTAAGTGAGATACTGTCATTTCAAAATAACGTTATCGACATGACGACATTCTTTTACTTTCTGGTTAGGTAATTACGAAAACGTCCATAATTATTTATAGTAAACGATACTATCAAACATAATATTATATATGTTAAATAATTTGTTATATTTGATCATGTCATAATGTCAATAACCTGTAGTACTTATTAATATAAATATAGTACATTACTGGTATTGTTGTCTAGGATATTTTATATTTCTAAACTAGGTATTATTTCAACTGTAGTTTGTAAAACATAATGTTATTATTAATTATGTTATATTTCTAAATTATAATACTTGGTCTCTAATAATTTGTTTCCTGGAGTGAGGTCCGTTTCCGCAGGGTCTCACATTTGCGCGGAGCCCTGTGCAGGTTCTAGCCGCCAGGTTTCCTAGTTTCATTACCCTTGCACCGGCCCTGTATAAATAACTGTGAATTCAAGTAGTGATTGTATTTTGTAAATTAAATTTATATTTTTCCATTTTTACGAGATTATTATTTTATTTAATAAAATGTAATTTCTATATTTTTATTATAATACTTACTAAAAATAATTCGATGTGTATAAATACGTTTATTTATTACTATGATTGTCCAGTACGTATAATTCGGATTAAAATATTTGTAGCACTATAAAAAATTTTTTTTTTCTTCATTTGAATTAATCTATACTTTAGGGGCACAATTAGATTATGTGATTAGAGCTGAAAACATAGGTATTTATTAATTTTATTAATCACATATTCATATACCCAATTAATAATAAAAATAAAATATCCATTATGAAAAAAAAAAAAAAAAAAAAAATTGTCTTTAATAATTATTTTATACATAGTTACCTAATAATACAATAAGAGTTTATTTATTTTTATTTTCATATAGCAATACCTAGTGAGTAAACCATTAAATATGACTATATGAGTAATACAACTCTTATATAAAGATTCAATTTAAACATTTTTCTAGCTTTTGCTGAAGCAATTATTTTAGTATTATATCGTACTTATACATTTCTCATTACACTGATAGTAATATTAAATCACTAAAATAAATTAAAAAGTGGTAAGTGTTTTATTGGCAAACTCTAATATTTTTTTCACGTTGGTACATTATAGTTGTGTTTTTTTACACGCGATGTTTAATAAGTAATTTTTATACCTACTTATTAGAAATGTTTAGTGCAAAATTAGAGGCCTCTAAAATATCTCAAATCTTAAGGTCTGGGGCCGTGCCCCTCTCCTCGGTCAACTTTATCTGGGCTTGTGTACACGTCATTAAATATACGCGTGTGTCGTGCTCGTGCGGCCCGGGAGTGGTGCCTGTCATATGGCCGAGAAAATCAATAAGCATGTGCGCGACCGCGTTGAACGAAATAGTTCTCTGTTTGCACGCTGCGGTGTAACAACTAACTAACTACTAATAAAATCGCTGTCGGGTAGGTTATCATACCGCGAATATTGTCGATATATTTTGGAATCGGCAAAACAAACACTGTATCGCGCAGTATGTTTCCGTAACATAATAGTTTTCATGGGCGAGTATCCGTCGCTGCACAGAGCCCGTCCGGCAGTCGATTGAAGAAATTCGTGCATGCGATATGACCGCTACAGCTGCTTTTGTGTCGTCGTCCTGGACAAAAACCGTCGACGAGATCAACAACGTCTGCGACAGCATACGATATACATCCTGCCTATAATATATTATAATATTATCATATCGGGTTTCGCGTGTCCTTGTTAGTTGCCGCAAAGGATCGTGTCCATGTCAGGCGAGCCATGAGGCTTATTATTTCATGTCATGGTGGTAGTGAGAGTACAGAAAGCCCGAGTATTTCGCTACACGCCGACTGCAAAGATCTGGGCATGGACAATCAAGGTGCTTCCGTTTGTTTTAGTGCTGCTCGTCGTTTTCGCCATGTGCTTCTTGGCTGTAACTCGCGTGAGTCTTCTTTAAAATTGTTTATTTATTTGTTGACTCGGTCTACAAAAAAAGGCAATCGTAACGTACATTTATTTATAAAAAGAATGTTCATAGTTCATGAATTTGAACCAGTAGCGCAATTATATTTTTTAATGATATGGTGGTAAAATCTACAAATATATTTCTATAACGTTCAAGATTCTCAGCGGAAAGATAAATAATCGGGTTTACAATGACATGTTTTTTGTACACTTTGAAGTAGTAAAAATACTTTAGACTTTAGATCTATTACATGGGCGTCCCCTGACATTTTCTCTAGGGAGGGGGGGGCAAAATTAATTTAAAATATAAATAAAGATTTTTTTTATAGATACATTTTATTTATAGTACATTATCATGTTTTGTCATTATTACACTTAGGTATTATTACAATACATTTTATTTATAGAACATTATTATGTTTCGTCAGTATAACATTAAATTATTACAATTAGGAAACAAATTTAAAATTCTAGAGGGGGGCAAGTGCCCTGTCTTGTTCCTCCACCATAGGGACGCCCATGGTCTATAATAATAAATTAGATTTAGTTGGTATTTATTTGTGCGTGAGGAGGGGGATCTAAAGTTTAAAAAATAGTCAGTATTTTAAAAATAATCACATGGAAAACCAAAAAAAAGAAAAAAAGAAACGATATAAAAAACGGTAAAATTTACAATAATGTTTTGTATTAAAGCAACATTAATTTTCAAACATAATATATACTATATATACTTGAAAGTTTGTTATGAATAAATTTATATTACATTTTTTGGACATAAAAATATTTAAAAAATACTTTGATTCTTTTTAATCTGTTCAAAATATTTGGATTTTTGATTCTTCTCGATAAAATGTTTGTTTTTTAATAAAATTTTATCAATTTATTACAAACTGGTTTCTCATAAATATTTTTATAGTATTTTCTAGCATAATTTTTTTATACATCTATTTAATTTTGACAAAATTTGATATGACGTACCTGAAAAATAACGATTTTAGTAAGGCACTTCCCTATTTATATTTTAATTTTATGATAGTTTATAATATTAAATTTTTATGAAAAATATAACTATTTAAAAACTGAAATATTTATTATTCAGCCCTTATTTTCGGTCAACATAATTTAACTGTTTAGAATTTAGTGACTATTAATTTATTAATTTCGAGTACCTACCTACAGTGTCCAATTAACATTTTTCAAAGTAAAAATTGTTTTAAATGATGATTATGTCATTAATATACAGTAAATTATTTATTTATTTATACCTACATAATATTATATATGTTTATGAGTTGAACCCAATTTAAAATATCTTGAAGCTTAGTAAATTTAAAAATGTGTAAAATGTAACGATAAAAGAAATAGTTAGAAAATAATATAATAAAGGTAATAATAATTAATAGTAATATTAACAAGTAACAATACATAAAGTAATAATAATAAAAAATTAAAGGAGGAATAATTGGCCAGCTTCATCATCATAATATGCTTAAAATTGTTTTTTAGATAACGTATATAACAAATGGATAATTATATGCATGGTTTTATATTTTACAGATTCGATATAATTTATAGCATATTTTTTTTATTTCTCCATATCATGTATATCTGATTAAATACAAATGTTTATACTAATGATTTTACAGGCTCCAGTTTTACAAAAACGAAGTTCTTTGAAGGTCAACAGTTTACAAGTGGCAAAATTAAAACCAGATGTAAGTATTTTTTTAGTAAATGTATATAACTATAAACAGAATTTTTGAATTAAAACTTGTTTTGTTTACTAATATAATATAATAATATGCTTTAAAAATTAGCCAGCTAGCAGTGCACAGAATAAAGATTTCCAGTTAGAACGTTTGTTGAAGTCTAAACCACCAAGCCTTCAAATGTTTGTCACTCAGTTAAAGAACGAAGCTAACGGATACTGTTCGGGAAAATTAGCAGAATTGCGGAGAAACGCAGAGAAGTCAAATGTAATTTCAGAACGATTAGAGCCATGTCGACCAAAACCATGGTGTCCAAAAATACCACCAGTTTTATGTAAGTATGTTTATGCCTGCAATTTTAGAAATTTATAAATTAAAAATTAAAATTGAGTTAAATCAATAAGTTAAGTACCTAATTAGTTACTTAAAAAAAAAAAAATAAATAACTTTTATAATATTTATACTTATTAACTTCAAATTAATATTTTATATAGAAGTATTAAAGTTAGGTTAGATTTTTAAATAAAATATTTAATTTTGTGTTTGACAATTTTTTTTTTTGATAGCGCTATAGTTACGAAGTTGTTAGAGCTGTTTTCATATTAATAATTTCGAAGAATTATTAGATATAATTTTAAAGACATTCAAGAAAGTATAAAATATTTTTGTAATATTTACATATTTATTACCAGTTGAAGTTTTAAAATTTTATGATGGGAGTCTATCTTTATAGATGCTAGATAGGTATTCAGTATTTTAAATTAAATATTAATATATATTAAATTTATTAAATTGAATTAAATGAAGTACGATACTTTATCAGCTAATATATACACATAAATATAAAATTTTGTATACTACCTATGTGATTCTAATGATAACCATTAATTATATCATAGATATATCGATACACTTATATATTTATATATTTTTAGTGTTATTAAATAACAACTATATGTGTATAATAATTTTTTTATTGATTTCTATTTTGTATAATAACGATAACAATAGCCCATAGCAAAGAAAATCTCCATTGAGTAATAACTATGTAATAGGTAGGCAATGTACAATTTTGCTGTTAATAAAAAATAATTTTAACTACTAGCTGTATAAAAATTATCATCTAATTCACTAATCGAGAGAAAATAAAAAATGTACGTAAGCTTTTAGTTTTGTATGTATTTTTACTAAATAATTAAAATAATTATATTTTTTTTTGTCTCATATTGTACATTAGAAATGTTACTCATTACTTTGCCATTTAGTTGCTACATAAAAAAAATAATAATAATAAAATAAATGTTCTTGGTACGTGAAATTTAAATGCAGAAAATAAAATAAATAGTTAACATGAGTACCTATGATAATTTTTTTAATATCTTAATTAACAAAAACGTTACAGCTAAAATTAAACGACTACGATAAGATATTATTATAGTATAATGTAATTTAGCTTGTAGCCCTTGTCGCTGAAGCTTAAGATCAATAAAAAAAAATAATGTAATTAAATATACATTCATAACTTATTTTGAATGTGGTTATTTTAATATACATGGCTATACGGGATAAAAGTGTATAATTTTCAGGCTAATGACCTTAGAAGTTGAAGCCTTTTATCCTAAAAAAAAAAAAGAAAATAGTGTATAATTTGACAAATGACAATTAATGTTTCAAAACTCTATAACATGTGTTAATGGACCTACTTAATGTATAATATGTGTTTTGTTTGAATTTACAAATATAAAATTTCAGATGGTGCTGAGAAATTGGATAGCATCGCCGTTAACATGACCGAAGAGGAAATCGTGGACGCAGTTGGATCAATGGGCGTGGGCGGTTCTTGGGCACCGGATGATTGTAAAGCTAGACACTCAGTGTGCATCATCATACCCTATAGGGATAGAAAGGATCATTTATGGACATTGTTGTACAGGCTTATACCGGTGTTGAAAAGACAACAATTGGATTTCAAAATATTTGTTGTCGAACAGGTACGTATATGAAACGAATAACGCTGCGTAATTTGTAATATTAACTATTATTTATTAGAAATATCTATATGGTAGTATGAGTACCTATATAATGTCTGTGCAACTGCACAACTGCGCAACTATATCATCAATTTTTTATTAATAGTTAAGTATTTAAGCTTAATTTCCAAAATACTTATATTAATTTGTGAGTAATCGAATATTTTTTTTTATTATTTAATTATAATCGTACTACAGCGCATCACTGTGTAGATATTATGTGATCCGTATGTACAAGGGAGACAGATTTTAACAAACTTTCAAAGAAATCTTCATGAAATAGTTTTCATTTAGATAAACACAAATATTTATTGTTCGGTATAAATAAAAATAGGAGTAAACTTTTGAAAAAATATTTATATTTTTACAACATTTGATCTTTGTTGACGTATGATGCGATATACGCAGTCCCATGTATAAGGCGGGAGGGTTAAATTCCTAACCATTCCTTTTTTTTTTTTATTTCGATCATTAACATAAATTGGTTTTATCGAATTAAAAGAAAGACTCTTGAAATATAATGTAAAATCGAAAAACTATAATTAATAAGCACTTTTCATAAATTAAAAAAATTAATATAAATATAATACTATTTGTATAGATTCATTTTTTTCGTAACCTCTTTTATGAAGAAATCTTGCGCATGGGTCTAGATGTAGGTACGTGTTACATCTAAGTTAATTTGATTTATAATTCTAAATAAATTGGATTTCTTTCTCATCATCACGATGACATATGTTTGCTGTCATTTTACATACGTGAAATTAGTATAGTAATACATTATCTAATTATAATTAAATATTAATTTTACTGTATGAACAAATAATAATGTTTAGCTACTTGTTAAAAAGTGTGGAAAATAGTTATTATAAATTATTTAATATTTTTACAATTTAAAATAATTTTACATCACTAAACGTTTGTCTATTTAGGTCAGTAATGCAACGTTCAATAAAGGTGCAATTATGAATGCAGCCTTTTTGACGATTTACCGCACGTACGGCTTACGCGATGAGGGTGATTGGCATAAAGGGTTATACGGCTGCTATGTCTTCCATGATGTAGACATGTTGCCAGAAGACGACAGAAACATGTATAGTTGTTCGGAATTCCCCAGACACCTGTCAGTGGCCGTCAATGAATTTAAATATCAGTAAGCACATACTTGGTATATTTCCTTATAATGTATGATGATAATATTATTACCATATATTGGATATTTGTGTAATACCACGGTTATTGTCGTAGGATTGCATAAGAATTCAAATAATTATGCATAAGTATGTAGTGTAATAAATTAAAACATAACAATATAAAAAATCAAAATAAATACATTTAATAAATTATAATGTTATTAATAACATTATACAAACTAAATATTATACCTATTTAAGATGTAATTTTTATCATTGAGAAATCGAAATTCTTATTTTCGGCTTTTTGATTTCATTTTTAACTTGATGTACCAAATTTGCATAGTGCATCTGTGTTTCGTTATCTGCTTAATATTATCTAATTATCGTGTAATTTTCGGTCATCAGTGTATTTTTTTCATTCATACCAATTAAAAATTATGTTTGTTATAAAAATTTAAAAGAACATGTTTTTTATCTATCTATTTTATTTCAAAATATTTCAATATAGTATTAGATAAATATTATTAAAAGTTCAGGGTTAGATTAAATAATGTGTAACTTAGAGTTTGTGTTAAGTGTTAATCATTGTCGTAAGAGACAAGAGTTATCAGTGTCATCTGATAAGAGTACGTCTCGTGGCAGCCGGATTTGGAGGCGTTTGTTTTTTGTTTTGATCCAAGTTTGTAGTATCGGAAGTACGTCTTAAAATGTAGCTACATTTTTTCATTGTATGTAAGCAAATAATATTTCATACTTCGTGGTTTATTGCTGGTAAGAGGGTAAATTAACTTGCTGAAACGTCCATCTTAAACTATTATAAATCGTTAAATATTATTTAAAATTTTAAATAAATGGAATAATTGGTGGAAGTATAGTTAATATACAGCAAAAAACTTATATAATTTAATAATTAAGTTGTATAAGTATCATAATCAATAAAACAAAAGTATCGAAAACATATGAAATGTTTTTATGGAATTATGAGTTGAAAAATACGGTGCAAGTATAAAATTGTCATTCCGTCATTGATTTTATTTGTGTGCCAAAAATACTTTCTTATGTTACATAATATCTATCTTACATTCTAGTTTTAGTCTTTTTAAATATTCATGATTGGTTGATTTTATAGTACACTAATGTCTAATATAAAACTATAAAAGATCAGAGAATAAAGACGAACGAATACGTATTACCTTTAAGTAATGGTCGTAACATCATCGTCGGCCTAATTATTAAATTAACTATCTATATTATATACACTGTCAAATGGTGATGTCGTGATGGGTATTAATAAAATTGACAATGTGTGTATGTATTTATATAAGCTTTTATAACTACTCTAATTGGTGTCAGGTGGTATAAATGTATTAAAATAATCAATATAGGATTAACGCCCTCGCAGACTTTTAACATTGGCGTATAAAATTGCATTATTGAAGTATGTATGAAATAATAACAAATTTGTATGATATCAGATATATATTGCTTACTGTTGAGCTATAAATGTTATATAATCGTTAATCGTGAAAAATAGGATTACTTCCGAATATAACTACGGCTCAGACAATATCACGGAACGCCACAGTTTATAATACATACCTACGACGAGGATAATGTTATCAGGAAATGGGTTTTATAAATTTAAAATGCTTAGCAAAGCAAACTGTAAAGAATCAATTTTTATTGGTTTCAAAGTAATATTATTATTATATTTTTTTTTCTTCTGCGATGAATCATATTTTGGATAGCAGTTTTCAAAAAAAATAGCAGCACGGGACATATTATTATTTTTTTATTCAGTTTTCCGAGGGCAAGATTCGGGTCAGCTGTATTATCGCATGTGTCCTAAGGTTATATTTTTTGATATTCTTTAAATTATAGTGAAAATAATTTCAGACTTTGTTTTGCAGTTTTATAGTACACCAAAGACCGAAAACAAATAAAATAAGCGCTTTCTTTTTAAAGTTTGTACATAGACATATAGTGGACATAAATTCCTATGATATACACAATATTTTATTTAAATTAATAAATAATTTAATAGGAATAATGTGAAATAAAAAATGATGTACTATAATAGAAAATTAATTGGCATAGTTATATTTTTGATAAAGGTATTAAAAATATTGATAAATATATATATATATATATATATATATATATATATACTAATATATAACTATGATTTATATTTTTTACTAACAAACATAAAGATTACCCTATCACAAATTGGTGGGTGGAGTGTTCAACATAAGACCGGATCATTATTTACTCGTCAACGGCTACTCAAATCTATTTTGGGGTTGGGGCGGTGAAGACGATGATATGGGATATAGGTAAGCACTTTATATTAATTATTTATATTTTAAGTATACCTACATATAAAACATTGTATGTTTAGAATTGTGTATGCTCATTAGCTAATAGCGCAACTACGATTTTTTTCGAGAGTGATGGTTGGTTAAGTGGTAAATATCAAAGTACCATATAATGATAATAGTACAATATATCGTACACCGATAAAATCGATGACGTATGCAATAAATTATATTCTGATATTTATTTTATGTATGTGAATGCGCAATGGTGTATACACGCTTAGGTACTATTGTGTACTTGTATAAATTTGTAATTAATATACATTTTACGTCAATACTGCTCAAGCGGAAGAGTCCTATAATAGTTTAAAGGCCCCATTTTAACTTGTACCATCATAATAGGTCTAACCTATTTATAAATACACAATGTATTATATAGGGCGATTTAAAATTTATGTTACCATATAAGTATAAAATATTCATAACATAGAACAATTTTTAACACGAAAGTTTTTTGTTTTAAAAATTACTAAAATTATTAGTAATTTTTATAATTTTTTCATAATATTTTAGGTAGGGTTTTGGGATTAAACTTAAGAAATTTAAATGGGAACTTTTTTTTGCAATCCTAATGTGAATATTTTTTTTGGAATATTTCGATATTAAATTTTTTAAGTTGATTCCCAAAACCTTGCATACAATTTTATAAAATGTCTAACAAATTTTAAATAATTGTGTATAGTTAGTCAAAGATACTTCCAGCTTATGAACTCTTTAAGCGAATACAATTTTAAAGAGAAACGCAGAGCATGTAAACAGGTCATACTGAGAAAGAGAGAAAGAGAGAAAGAGCTATATGAATAAGCTATTGCATGATACAGAACAAGATCGCAAAAAAGAAAGAATATGGAATTTATTTTTTAACATTAAAAAGTATAAACAATTTAACCTTAATCTGAAAGCTGTTAAGGATATAGATGATAATATTTTAATAGACCTGAACGAGAGAGTAACAAAATCGAAAAATTATTTTGAAGGCGTGCTTAATAATAAAGTACTAGATAGTGAGACCAGTGCCATTATGAAAAGGACATAATTTTCGTTAACCGAATACCTCAAAATATCTAAATTGTTTTTTAGAAGAATCAAAGTGTATCTATTCACGGAAATAATTAGATAAACCTTGACATAAGCAGAATACGATAGATATGATTACTGACTATTAACAAACTGAACAGAGCAAAAACTGATATCATTTTAAAACAAAATACAGTGAATTATCTGTGGTTCAATAAATGATAATGAACTAGGATGCTGGCGTAGAAAAAACAAAAAAAGAGATCTTAGAATTGACAGGAGTTCCAAGAATAACTAATTTTGTGAAAATATAAAAAAATCAAGTAGTTTAGACACGTGATTAGAAGGTCAGACTTAGAGTACTTAAAAATTTCGGGGTCGAGTGGAAACCTATCGGAAAGAGACAAAGAGGGCGTCTGAAGAAGCCAAAAATTGATGGAATAAAGCAGGATTTAGAGAAAGTAAGGATACCAAATTGCAAAAAAAAAGTACAAAATCGAAAAAAGAGGAAGACTGTCGGTGACAATAAAAACTCTTGAAGAGTTGTAATGTTAGAGAGAGAGAGAGATATCGTGAGTAAGTACGTGACTATGTGAGGTACTCACAACAAATTGCAGCTAAAATGCTGATACATAATACACAATACACATACGTATACTTATACTTTTTATGGTTTAACCTATTTTGAGCTATTATTAATATAATATAATTGTATTTCAAAATAATAATAAAAAAAACACCGTCTGAGTTTTTAGTAAATTTGTAAATGTTATTATAGTATTATGTCTTGGACTATAATTGACAGCGATCATGTTTATTAATTTTTTCTCTTCCGAATGCTCAAAAATTTAAGCAGGTCATTCTAATTTTTGATGAGGAATCTAAAAATGCAGTTCAGGAGTGAATCGACATTTGACTTAGGCCAAAATGTCATACTATAGAATTTTCAAATATGTAAAATGTATATTATCTTATCACGGGGCTTGAATGACGCCACTGCTTGACGCGTTAAAATGTTACAACTTAAAAATTAAAAATAATATATTATTTTCAATTATACCTATTTAGAATTTGTGTAAAGTTATTTAAAAAGTGCGTTATATTTTTTATAAAAATATAAAGTATTATTTATCATTATAATATACAAAAATATAAATATATATTCGTAAAAATGTTTGTGATCGTACCGTATACAAATTTATGTGTAGTAATTACAGAGTGAATCCCCAAGCACGATCATCTTCTTTTATTCATCAATAATATATCTGAAATAAAATTATCTGCTTAAAAATATCCAGTAAAACAGAGTGGTTCAAATTTAAAAAAAGAAGTTTATATCATCATAGGGGTACCCCTAAAATGTTATAAAAAATTCTGAGTATCTATTCTTAAAAATTCCGAAAAAGAGAAAAATAAAATGAAAAAATGGTAATAACCGTGCTTGTAGGTGAATTACTCTGTATATAGGACATATGTGTATATAATATATTGTTATATACTGTGTCTGCAAATAACGACTGTTTGCTGCAATAGTGTTTTACAACAAAGCAACCCATTACCACCTTAGCGGTCACGCTTTGGTCACTTCTTATGCCGCTTAAAAATTTTTCAATCGGTAATCAAAATACTTATATCTATTTTATATTTTTTATTCAGGTTGGAACAGGTCGGATTGCCGATCACCCGGCCACCCGAGCGGTTGGCTCGATACACGATGGTCAAGCACGTCAAACGTAAACCGCTCGCCCACGCTGTTCGACTTAAGTTAGTGCACACTAGCAAAAAACGTTATAGAGCCGATGGACTGAACACGCTCAAGTATGAAGTTTTCCGGGTGGACACCGAGAAGCTGTACACCCGGATACTGGTGGGCGTCGGTGACATGCCCGAATACGTCCGGTCGTTCGAAGTCTCCCGGCGATCTACCTCCTCACAAAATAAAAGATGGAAATGATCGCGCTGTACAGTAACTGCACTATCAATATTATAAAATAGGCTGCAGTATGTACGGTTGTTAATTTGGGTCGCCAGTAATCCCCAGTTCGTGATGCAGTGCGAGTATTTTAGTGAAGTTTATTTTTTTAAGTGACATAAACCTATTATCACGGTAAAATATAGAGAGTCTATTAGTCGTAAAAAATTACATAAAAAAAAAAATAATTAAATTGCACTTAAAAGATATTTGCACTGCATGCGTCTTGTGGAGCTAGGGTTACTGACTCCATTTTATTAACACACTTTATATGACCTATATTATATATGACCTTCTACATTATATATATATTTTATATTCTTATAATACTGTTACAGTGTATACCATGCCGTATAATTATATTATACATAATATAGTATACAAGACCGTAACTAGGCAAGGGGTTCTGGTCCAGAATTTTTTTATACGTAGATAAATTTATTAATAAATATTTCGTAATATTGTATTAAGAATAATTTTACAGTTTGGTTGATATATTAAAAAAATATGTGAACTCTACCTATTAGTTTTCAGTTCCGGTCTTGTTTATATGTATGTATTTATAAAATATATCGTTGAGTATTTAGATATTAGATAGTTATGATGCAATACAGCAGGCCCTATTTTAAAGATTTTTCATTTGTTTTTTAAATATAGTTTGGACACATGTTGATGACAGAACTTTGATGATGAGTTAATGGAGCAAGTAGAGGTAATTTTTGAGACCATCGAGTGTTTATTATTTTGATGTTTTATGATATAATATCACAGTCATATAATGTATAGGTTAGGATTACTATAATGTTGGAATTAAAAAGCTTAAAGTTATCTTCGCCCCCCTTGTCATAAAGTTTCCAAATATTTTGCTATATTGTATAATTATTACATTCACAATACTTTTTATTCATGTCATTATAGTGACACAGTTGTATGAACCTTAAGAATAGGTATATGCGATTATTATATTCTGACTTATCAGTTATCATACATGGCAGTTAAGTTGCGGACTGCACTTTTCGTATTTAATACTTTTACTTAGATTTCTACCTTTTGTTAGAATAAGGCCTGTTAAGTATTATATAGTTGTATAATTATACTATTAATATCTATACTCAATATTGGTATATTGTAGATGAATAGTACATCTATAATTACTAACATACATGTCTATGTCAGATCACCTAAAAATACACACTATTATGATATTTAAGTGCGTACACATGGAATGTATAATGTTGTATGTATATATTTATACACTATACATATATTTATTATTTATTTTTATATATTGTTTTTGTATTTGTTGAAACTCGTATATAAATATATTATATAAAAATGTATATACCTATCAACTATAATCTATATAATATTATTAAATATATATTATGTCATAGGTCATTTGAAAAAATTGATTTTTAAACCTCGCCATTTTGACATTTGAAATTATATTTTGTTTCCTGATTACATCGCCATATTTGTTGATTTTTTTAGGCCTATTATTGCAACGATATTTTGGAAATAGTTGTTAATGCTTATTTTTTTAACAGACATCGACAGGTAGGTTTTTAAAATTATTATATAACGTGTCACTGTTAAATAATATTACTTAAGCTAATAATATACCAAGTTATTATCAATTTGAATAAAAAAAAGAAACGTTTTGTTATTATTATTAAATAGAATTATATGTATTATGTATAAGTATGTAATGCAGTTATTAAATTACTAATTTTTTTTGTTTATTCAAATATGTTGCTTTCGCATCGTGGCGATATTAATAATATAATAGTAATACCTATAATGGACTGCTTCATTGCAATAAATGGTCTAGAAATTCCACGTCTTTTCCAAACGACATGTGACGAATATATATTACTATTATAATATGCCTGTTATACCTTATTATTAAATGCGTTTGAATAAAACGTTCTCCTATTATTATTATAATTATTAACTATTATAGTTTGGAAATTATTGTTGAATTAGCATATAAACAGAATATGTTTTTTTAAATTATGTTATTTTTAATATAATATACCATGTTCTTAAAATGTCATAATATACTTTTTATTTGTAAAAACATTGAAAACAAATTAGAAGCAGTATTTGAGAGTTTACTACTTCAAGGTTAATTGGGGGTGCAGGAAAAAAAGTCTTCTTCCTAAAAAAAAAAAAAAAAGGAAAAAAGAAAATAATAATAATTATATAGGCATATGATAAAACAAAGCACAATTTTATTTACAAAATAAAATTAATACTTTTTTTTTGATACTAAGAAATCTGTCAGTTACTTCATTAAGATATATTGTGGTAAAATTTTAATTTTAAGTTAATAATCTCTAATTCATTAATACTAATTATTGTCATTTATCAGTACCCAAACGTCTCTATAAATAATACAATATTAAAATCGAATCTTTTTTTAATAGAGCCACATAAGGAAAGTTTGAATAGAGTTCTACTGTGCATTTTTTCCAAGGTAGCATCATACAACTTGCAAATACGGGCAAGTTAGTAAAAAAATTAACTTGATTTAGTTAAGTAAACGTTAAACACATAGAGTCAATAGTTAATAACTAAATAATTAAAAGTCTGTTGTTGCTATTGTCAACCATATAGTGTTCTTTAGTAGAGCGCATTATTACGCAAATTTCGGTAGATGTTACCTATACCATAGTAAGTGCGAGGACCGAGACTGTGGTATATAGTATACACTATTCAATATTAATGCCAAAATACAATTAAAAAATTAATCTACACGGTTTGTGACTATATTATATAGATACTTTTGGTATTTTTGTAATTGGTATAATAAAATCCAGTGAGGAAGTTTGTATTGAATGTTCAAACTATTTGACTAAGAAATAAAAAATACTACACAAAAAAATACAGTGAAAACGATGTGTTTAAGGTTCCAAGATTAAGGTTAGTTATTACTACCTATGGTTTCTGATTTCACACGTTGTAATTTATTAGAGTTAAAAAATGAAATTTATTTTTATTTTTGTATAGTTCTATTTAAGAACAAAGTTCAGTTATTTTGAATTCTTATCAAAATAGATAATTATTAGCATAATTTAGATTGAACGTAATCAGAAGTGGCTTTTACGAACACATACGTATAAAACAAATATAGTAAGCACATTTATTGAACAACAAGAAACAAATTTTGATATTAAAACCCTTAAAAGCAAAAAAAACTTTACTCGTGTTATTACGTTCGTGCGCGATTCACCAAAATTGTAGTGACTTTTCTCTGATTAGTAGAATGTTAATTATAGGCATTTCAAAAGAACATTTTGATTTGAAATTAAAAATGTATGTTGTTAATATTAAAAAAAGTAAAAGCTTAGATAATTATAAAAATAAGAAATATTAAAAACTTCCATCTCATATTACAATCCAATATTAAACCTAAATATCTGACTTAAGTTAACCTTTTAATTTTGTAATACATTGAGCTATTAATTTTTATTTTATAAACACTTATATTTAGCATAATAATTAACAGCATATTTACATTTATATGTGAAAATAATATTAAATATTTATTATTTCACATATAAATAAATTTTATTTTTATTTTGCCCTACTCTAAAATTTTACCTATGGACGCCTCTTAAGTATAAAACTATACAAATAATAGGTATTTATTGTAAATCCGGTATCTATACGTATAATTTTTGTATTGTATTAAGAAGAAATAATATTTTATCGAGCGCTTATAATTTATTTTCCTATATAATTTTCTTCGGCTATTAAGAAAAAAGTTGCATTTATATGTATAGTAAATAATGTTTTTAAGAAAAGTTTTAGAAAAAAAGTTGAAACTATATTATTCTAATTTAACGAAAAATTAACCTATTTAATTCGACGTCTTAATTACCCGTAATAGATTTATAAACATAAGTTTAGACACTTTAATATACCTCCGTATTATTATGTCAATACTCAAAAATATATCAAAATATGAGTATTTATTATGAACTCATACTACCCAATATTATTAAAGTATAAAAAGTTATCTGTAAATTATTTTCAAATTGTTGACGGAGTTATATTTTTTTCTATTAACTCATTTGTACCATTATTTTTTATTATTTGAATTAAAATGTATTTCCAATAAAAAACCTAACATATATTGCTGCTATTGCCTATTGACAACTATATGTATACTGTATAGTGTTAAAATATATAAATATTCATTTTTGTGACATAGTTTGTTATTAAAAATAAAACTTACTTACGTCAAGTATCATATTCTGTTCAAAAAGTATTAAGCGTACGTTTGTCGTACAAATATATTAACGTATACTAGAAGATCAAACATGTCCAACGTTGAAATCCAATCGCCTTCTGTTGTTGCCGGCTTGGTGATTCTGTTGGTTTCAGCCAAACCACTTGCTTCTCGCTTGATTACGTTTTTCAAATTTAAAAAAAAACGTTTCTTTAAAGTACCATAATGTTTACAACACAAACTAAAAATACATGGCCCTTGAATTCGTTGTCCGTAATTTTGATTATTTATTACTTCGTCTTCATCTAAACACTCTTCATCTTCTCAGACTTTTCTCAGGTTTGCGATCTCCAAGACGTAATCTTCTACGATTATTTCCTTTTACCTTGGAACAAGGATTCATTTATTTGTACAACTAGGCTAGGACCTCCCATTTTCTTACGGTTTTGAAATTCAGCTACTGCTACGTCTCAACATAAATTATACCAGTTGACTATAGTTTATTTTGATCTTTTCGTAAATACCTCGGCTTGTGTTACCTTAATTTGAAATATACCCAATGCCAAACAAGTTCTACAATATCGCACAAATTTAAACCACTTTCCATTTTATCCATATACGTAAAAAAGTTATTATTTTTGCGTACGGAGTAAAATGTTTGGCACCCTTTTTTTGTTAATCGATTATAAATTGTTTTCAAATATTACCTTACGAATCACGTTTTCGACAATTTTTTAGAACTTTTTCAATCCACCACCACAAATTGTTTAGTTTTTTAATTTTTGTACATGTTTGGTCGACTGGTATAAACTGGGTATATTTAAAAAATTTTTGCACATCTCTTCATTTTGAATTATGTGTCGATATAAATAACTCATAGTTGACAAACTCATAATAATATATTAATAAGTAATAATAAATAAATTACAGTAAAAGTACATGTAATCGACACGACTCACAAACACACACTTAACAGGTATAATATAAAGGTATACCTACCTAACTCACTAATGTATAAATATAATATAATTTGGGGTTTCGATAAAAGTTTAATCTTCATTACAAAATGATAAAGTATGTATATAATACACAGATTATGGGTAAACGGTAGATATTATACTAAACTAGGTATCATAAAATTACGGTAGATATCATATTGGACGAATACCTATTTAAGTACTAAACTACTATGTATTTAAATCCAAGTATTTTTTCAATTATTACTTATCATTAACTACAATATTTTTTACTTGTAAATAACTCTGAACAGCTAACAAGTTAAGAGCCCTGTTTATTATGTCCAATTATATCGTATCTATTAGACTAAGTCACCAGCTATTAAATCACTTAGCTATTTATAATTTTGATCTTTATTTTTAATAGGTACTTACATTATTTTTTTAAACATATTTTGATTGGATGCTTATTCCAGAAATCATTACTTCCTGTTATTTCGAGGTCAAAACGTTGTCTAAATAATTGTTTGGTATTATGAAATTTACTACGTAAAAATGTATAACCAATAAAAAAAAAAATGTATTTCCACACTGATATCCCGGAACTTATAGTGTGGTTTTCTGGGGCATCAACGTGGTTAGATTAGGTTATAAATTGTTACATAATAAATAACACAATACCAGACAATTTTCAAGTAAATAATTTGACCTTGAGGTCAGGGTAACGCTCCTATTTTTTTCTTTATAAAAATAGAATTTTTAATTTGAGAAGGTAAATATTATATATAATAATATAAAAACATCATATATAATACTCGTATATCAGAACAATTACATAGCGCTATATCGGGCCCGAATTAATCAAACTGTTATCCGTCACTCAAATATCGTTGTGTAGAAGATTAATTTGATTGGAGCGTAATACGCGTCTAATTGATCCATTAATTAGCTACGTACACGCACGTCGGATAATCGTTTTATTATTGCGATGGATCGCATCGCATAAACTGCAGCTGCAGCGTATGCGCATATCGGTAATTTAATTATATTATAAATTATAATATATA